ACACACACACACACACACACATATACACACACACATACATACACATACACACACACACACACAATTTTTTAAGTCACTTTAAATAAATGCATCAGATAAATGAATAAACATACAATAAAAATCACATCTATTTTAAGTCACTTTAAACAAATAAAAATGAAATAAAAATACTACATCTATTTTTGTCACTGAATAAAAGCATCTGCTTAATAAATAAAATAAAAATGTATTTACATTTATTTTTAAGTCACTGAATAAAAAAAAAGGTTAAATAAACAAAATAAAAATTTAAGTCATTTCGAATAAAAGCATCTGCTAAATAATTAAAATAAGTGTAAAAAATTACATGTATTAAGTCACTTTAAATAAAACCATCTGCTAAATTAAAAATAAATACATTTTTATTACAAAATAGTCAATTAATACACACTGAAAACAAGTCTTATCTTAAACAATTTGCATCTCGTTTTAAGGATGCTTAAGTATTTATACTGGAAAATTAGACAAAAATAAAATCATATTTTGCGTTCATGTGTTTGCGTAAGTTTCAGGTTTCACACACGCATGCTTTGACTTCATCAGTGCACACACACACACGCATGCTTTGACTTCATCAGTGCGCGCGCACACACACACACACACACACACACACACACACACACACACACACGCTTTGACTTTATCCGCGCGCGCGCACACACACACACACAGAAACAAACTCCCAGTGTTTTCGGATCCATCAAAGACGTCCATGAATGCAGCACACAGAACTACGGTTCTTTCCCTCATCAGAGAGTTAATGACGTTAATTTGAGTGAGAACATGAGTCAAAACTCACTCCGGCTGCTTCTCCCGGGATACTAATTGGTATTTTCTAGCCATCTCTGAGTGAAAATTGTTTCTACATCAAAGTCACAGGCTTTGAAACAAAAAGGTTCAAATGATTTTGTGTGAACTACTGCTTTATAAAGAGGATCTCTGGATAATCCATCAGCGTTGCAGGGATTTCTTCCTCCTCTTTTCCTGTTGACTTCATCACTGGAACCAGGAAGCTCATAATAATATATTATGAAGGACGTGGCCAAAACCAGCACGAATGCAGAGTTGACATGAGCGACATGCGGCAGTATTTCAAATAGATATTTTGATCCGTTCCAAATTCTCGAAGCCGTTAAAAACTCAACGCATTATACAAGTTGATATTCAACACGAAGCATCTAAAGCGGCGCAGAACGAGTGGCATGAGCTCGTTTCTCGTGTTTTGTTTATCCGAGTCTCAGCATGAGGGACACACGGTTTACGTGTTTATACTGGGAGCAGTGAAACCACATGAGGGAACGCGCTCGCTCTCACACAGAAGATGAAGGACTCATTAGTGCGTTACGAGCTTTCTGTGATCTGCTGTTGACTTCCATCTCAAAACTATAGTGAGCGCGTAAATAAAACCAGTCTACGAAAACAAGACCACATAAGGTGAAGACACATTAAAAATGTGCTTTTAAATCTAGATTTTACATTTAAATCTTAATAAAATAAATCATAAATCGATGAATAATTAAATTGAATTAATCAAAAATATCAAAAAATATCTAAACTAAATGCAACAAAATACAATAAATGTAATAACTTGATCTTTAAATCTAAATAAATATAAATATTAATAAATATCTAAAATAAAAGATAATTATGTAATAATAATATAATAATAAGTTAATTTAAATCTGAATACAAATTAAAAAAAATAAAAAATAATAATAATAAACTAACATAACAAAAAAGTTAAAAATAAATGTAATTAACAGCAATTAAAATTTCAAATCTAAATAAAAAAATACTACAATGGATAATAAATTATTATTATCAATACAAATAATTAAAATACACTACATTTTTTAATAAATAAATAAACAAACAAAAAAGATAATGCAATATAATAATAATTGAATATTTAATTCTAAATTAAAAATAAATGGAAAATTTCATTTTTAATAATAATGATATAAAAACTATTTAAAAATCTAAAATAAATATAGCAAAAGATAATAATAAATGTAACCATAAATAATAATATTTTTTAACAATGAAAACACTGATCCAGAAACGCACATGAACTAACAGCGCTGATTTTGTACAGATTCGTCACACTAGCTCATCTCACTGAATAAGTGATTTGCAGTTGTTTTGGAAAACCATCACTTTTCACATTGGCTCCCAATTTTCCCCACACGCTTCCCCACAGAGAGCTGCTCAAAACATCCCGCAGACTGCGATTCCCTGACAACCGTAGAGGGAATATTCTGCTTTATTTACAACTTCAACTCTATAACATGCTCTCGGTTACCACAGAAAATAATTATAACTAAAGGGGCGTGACGTAATTATCCATAAAGTACTGTTTATGTGAGCAAACTCAAACAAACAGCAATTACACATCAGCAACCGACGTCTAAAACAGCAGTCCCACATCAAAAGGATGTTTTAGACAACTCAAATAACACATATTTTACTGAATAATTCCTTTTTAAGTGCTTTAACCAAAACTAGCTGGATCACATGCATGGATTCTATGTCCACGGTTTTCAAGCAAAAGATATCAAATATAATACATCAAATCAAGACTCCGTAATTAATAACCAATAATGTGAGCTTGGGGCGGGGCTTACTTGTCTGTCGAACCAATAGAAGAATAGACCATTTATGAGATTTCTAAATTCCTAATGTCTGACTTTTGAACTAATAACATGCTGTATTTAATGTAGCAATGTTAGTTAATGTGCTTAAGTTAAATAAAATAAATACAAATAATAATTTTAAAATACTTAATGTAAATAATTGAAAGGTGTTAAAAAGTAAAAGTTACACACACACATATATATATACATATACATATATATATAAATAGATTACTACTACTTATAAGCTAAACATGTGATTATAATTTTGAATAAATTTATTAATTTACTTAATTTCAAAATAAATATTTCATAATAAATTAATAATTTTTCTCTGTCCCAGGGTCTTTATAGTTAACTAAACCTAAAACCATAAAAAAAAACACTTTAAAATAAATTATAATATAAAAAATAATTTGTATAAATATTTATTAAATAACATTTAAAAAAAAAAAAAAAACTTAAACTTATTTTATTTCAGCTAGGTGCAAAAAGGCAACGTTTCTTTTACATTTAGTTTAACCTGATACTAAAAAATAACTAAAACGGAAATAAAAATTCATTTAAAATATGAATATTATTCGCTATTTTTGGTTTTCATTATAGTGATGTTGTAGTAATTGTGGTGCGTTTTTGTCTTTTTTAATTTTTTTTTTTAAACACATCTATATAGTTTATAACACTGCTCGGTCGCTCAATTTTTAAACCCCTCATTAGTTGAGATTATTTTCTGTGTTAATAGAAGTGTCACAAATACTGTTCACAGAGTAACCCAGAATATTCCTTTACCAGGCATTAAAGCCCTTTCTGAATAACAGACCAAAGCAAGCCCTCTGAGAACAGTGAGGAAGGAAGTAGAAGTATGAAGCACAGGAAGTAGATTCTGATTGGCCGGTCGGGATGCTCCACCTACCCGTTGTGCTGTTCTCCTGTGGCATTGCTCTCCAGCAGGCCGCGTCTCTGGCCCATGGCCACCTCGCACGCGTTCGCATTGGAGTAGAGGTTGATGGGCGTGTTATAGACGGACGGAAGAGGAGCGGCGGGAGCCGGAGGCAGAGCTGTCACTCTCGCCGGGGAGGAGGAGCCAGAGGAGGATGCGGAGGAGGAGTTCGCAAAGGGGGAGTGGCCGGATGCGGGTTTGGGGGCGGAGCTCGGAGAGGACAGCACGCGGCTGGCGCCCAGCGGGAAGGGAGGCTGAGGAGGCTGCTGGGACGGAGCAGCTGGGGTGAACGCAGAGGAGGCGGAAGGGATGGAGGCTTTGGGTGCAGCCGGGGACGGACTGACTGATCTGACGGTGCTAGTGGTCCCACCGAAGGGCCGTGCCGTCTTATTGTAGGCGCTGCTGCCCGGGGCGAGGCTGGCGGGGCTGCTGATGGGCACGGGCTTTATGATCTCCAGCGGTGCCTCCTACAGGAAGTGATGAAACACATGCAACACATGCTCACGTCACACAGCACACGCATGCAGGAGTCCCTCATTACAGCCCTAAAGCACGCTCACGTCACTCTTTCACATGTGGTTTAACATACAGTCTGTGGCCAATTAATTTGCATGACTAATTGATTACAGGATTCATTTTAATTCACATTATTATAGTTAACTAAAGCCATAAAAGAACATTTCCATTTCTTGAAATACAATAAACATTAACTGAAATAAAATTATAAAAGTAAAATTTTTTAGCTAGTTCCCAATTTTCATTTAGTTTAATTATGTACTAAAATAATTAACTGAAATAAATTAAAACCATTATATTAAATAAAATTAATTATATTATATTTAAAAAAAAATTATTATAATATTATAATAAAATTGAAAAATATATAGACATTTAAAAAACAAACTAAAATGACAAACTTTCATATTAAAAAATATATAAAATAAATATGTCTATACTGTTAATTATATAGTGAATCTGTGTTATTTAATATTAAATTATAGTTTCTATTGATGCGTTGAATGAGTTTTTTTATTTTTATATTTTCGGTTTTAATTTTTATATTCAATTTGGTTCCGTTTTTACATGTTGTCATTTTTTGTTTTTGTCTAGTTTAATTTTCATTTTATCTATAGTTTTTCATTTTTATTTCGGTTTGTTACTTTAGTACATCCAGTTAAACTAAACGAAAATGAAAACTTTTCTTTAAAAAGAAAAACAAATTAACTAAAATAAAATATAAAAAATAAAGAACTTAGTTAACTATAATAAATGAGACCGTATAACTGAAATATTCTCCTACTACCGGACTGTAATGAGGGGAAGCAGATCTTCAGTGTCATGCAGTAGATCATGCAGCACACGCTCAGCACACGTGTCCTAACCAGGTGTGATGCAAACCCACAAATCTCACCAGCCATGACAAGTGCTGTGTGATGAGACATTTGATTGGTCGCCTCATTTATATTCTGTCATAATGCACCGGGAGGCCCCGCCCACAGTGAAATCTCATTGAAACGAGCATTGCCGTATATTAAAATATACTCTTAATGGCTGTGATTTTGTCATTTCAAACAGCATTTCACTGCTTCTTTGACACTAAATGTCACAGACACCTTTTTATTAGGGAAAGGTTATAAATGGTTTAAGCAAACCCAATCATATTCGGTCAGCTTATTTAATGTGCATATTTAATTGACATAAAAAAATGGAGAACAACTTTTTTTGTCATCATCAGCTACATAATGCCTAAAAGGGGTTTATAGTGAGATTTTCTTTCTCTAAAAATGTAGCAGAAGCACACAAACTTTGCAATATACATATACAAACATACAATATAATAGATAATTTGTTTTCATATGATGCTAATTATAAAGAACCCTAACCCTAAAGGGAAAAGAAAAGAATAAAAAAAATTAACAAAAAAATAAATAAATACAAAAAAGGGCTTAATCATGAGCTACTTTCTTTTGGTAATTATTAGCACTCTGTTGTATATTTAAACACTTTTTAAAATCACATTTTACTGCCAAATTACCTGATACTATAAACGCTAATGTTGCACCTGGTTAGGACACGCATTACATATAATTATGTCGTTTGAAGTTTTCGTACCTTGGGGGTGTCCGTTTTAGTGACACTGGAAGATCTGCAAAGACAGAACAGATGTTTAACAAGACCTCATGATTACAAAACAATGATCTGCTGAATGAATAAAAGTCAATATGTAAATAACAGCATAAGTTTGACAGAAGTCCAGATCGAGTGAGTGAGTGAGTGAGTGTGTGTGTGTGAGAGAGTGAGTGTCTGTGTGTGAGTGTGAGTGTGAGTGTGAGTGAGTGTCCGCGTTTTTGTGACAAATGAGGACATACATTTGTATAATGACAAAGGTATGACAGGTATTACAAGGAGAAGGTGACTTTTCAGGACATTACCCCATGTCCCCACTTTTCAAAACGCTTATAAATCACACAGAATGGAGTGTATTGAAAATCTGAAATAGCACAAAGTCTCCTGTGAGGGGTAGGTTTAGGGGTAGGGTTGGTGTAGGGCAATAGAATATACGGTCTGTACAGTATAAAAACCATTACGCCTATGGAGAGTCCCCACTTTTCACAAAAACAAACCTGTGTGTGTGTGTGTGTGTG